AGTGAGGAAAATCGCAGTGACTGCAATTGAGCCAATGGGATGCTTGCCTGTGGCGACTGCCTCTTCTTCATATAAAAATTGCAGCAAAGCTGGGAACTTTAACTCCAAGTTTCACAACGAGATATTGGCAAAAGCAGTAAAAAAGTTGAACGAGCAGAGAAAGAGAACCAACAAATCTGCGTTCGTGATGCTTAATCTCTACAAAGCATTCCTTTCTGCAATGAAGAAGCACAGAAAGCACACAGGTATCTTGACATCTTTCTTAATTTCCTATACATTCATTCATTCTGCTGAATGCAATTAATATATATGTATACATAGTTTATTAGGACATGAATTAATTAATGGTTGTTTTGTTAATTCTGTCCATCCAACGATACATACAGGGAGTTTGAAGGTGAAGATGAATCCATTGGAGCCATGTTGTGTGGGTTCGTGTGGGAGTGTGGACAAGAGTGGGGCAAAGCTATATAATGTGTGCAAGAAACCAGAGGCTTCATTCTTCTGGGACTCAGTACACCTTTCACAGAATGGATGGCATGCAGTTTACTTGGCTCTAAGATCTTCTCTCCACAAACTCATCTGAATATAATGCTTACTCAGACAGCAATTATGTTTTCCTCATTTTTTCTTCTTTTTATTTTTGAAAAAAATAAAAATTTCGCTGTCCGTTGATTTGCAGTCATCAGCCTCTAGTACTAGTTTGTAATTTAGATTGACTTTACTAATATGATAAAATTATGATATCTAATATGGTATAGTGTGTTATTAACATATTATAATTATAAACTTTTAATTTTATATGATATTATAATTATTGTGTTGTCATTTTAAAAATAATAGATAACTTATATTGCTGTAATGATGTTGGGGAGGAGTTCCATTTCCATGCTTGGAAACCGATGACGATGGGCGAGGCGTGGTGGAGAAGAAGACAATTTCCAACGCAGCATGTTTATTAAATACATTTTATTAAAAAGAAAGCAGATTTAGGATTTTTTTTTATTGTCGTCCCCACCAACTCAGCTGGCCTTCTTCTATGATTTTGTTTTTATTCTAGCTCCCCATGCTTTTGAACGCACCGCACAGCTATTAACTGAAGGAATATAATCTGAAATTAACTCATAAGTATGCAATGAAAAGCTTTCAAGAGATATACTCATCTCTGCAAGCAAGTGATGTCGAGGCGATATTTTAAAATTTGTTTACAGGCTTGATGCAGGGAAGAAACCATTTCTCTCTTTAAGAGATAAAGATGAAAACAACGTGTTGCACTGGTAGCCAAGTTACCTAACCGTCGCCTTAATAATCTCCATCCAGCTTGGGTTAAGCAATACGAAATAAAGTTGTTCGAGGTTGTCAATTAACTCTCACTTCATATTTCTTTTATTTCTATAATTAAACAATTTATTTTTCCATAATACTGTTATGAAATGGCAGGAGGTTAAGAGTGTTCTTCCACGCTGGTCTCAAGGAGCCAAAAATCTTTATAGTAAAACTCCAGACCAGGTTTTTCTCAAAGAGCACCACAAAATGACTAAGAAGCAAATGAATGGGCCAAAGAAACTGCATGGTATTATATCCTTGCAGCTGCTTTAATCGTTACCGTTATGTTTACAGTACTTTTTAAAGATCTTGGAAGGAAAAATCAACACACCGACATCTCCAAATTGTTGCACAGAAAACTGCTTTCCTGGTTTATAATATGTGATGCAGTGTCACTCTTTACTGCATCAATTTCCTTGTTGGGATTCCTGAATATGCTCAAACTATCCCATGGTAAAGATAATTTTTGTCGAGTTCTGCCCTGGCAAATGATATTAGTTATTTCTGCACTCATCATTTCAATAGCAACAATGGTCCTGGCCTACAATTTTGCTCTTACTATTATGTTACAAAGGAAGTCTTCGGTACTGCCAGATATTGTAATTTACCTACTTGTATTTCCCATCTCCATTTTGTTTTCCACATTGTTTGGGACTTGGGGGCAGTGCCTCAACATTTGTGATTTTTATAGATTGAAGTTTAGCTCAATAATCCTGCAATGTATATAAGATATATAGTCGAAGGACGGGATTTGAAGCATCTTCCTTAAAAAGTGTTTGTTGGTGTCAAATTACCTCTATATATATATATATAATTGTATTGTCTCACAAACATTATGTAAATTTTTTTTATGAAGAATATAATATAAAATTATAAATTTATAATTTTTCATATTATAATTTTATGTGGTATTATTATTATAATATTATTATAAAACTTATATTTAAGTATTGTGTGTAATGAGATTTTATTTCATATATATGATCTAATAACTGTTTACTTATACATATTTGACATTAACCATGCTTTTGTTTTCGAAAATAAAAATAATAAAAAAGGAAAAATAAATTGAAAAGTGGAACGACAGCATGGCAGAGATGAAATTGCGGTAGTACCAACAACTGCCCATGTTTGCTAAAATATATTTATTTTTTTAAGTTTTTGGTTTTTATGGTAGTGACGAGCTTCCTTTAATTTTTTTTTAAAATTTTTTGATTTGATTTTACATTGGTTAAGTTCATTAATTTTAGGAATTATATTTTTTAGAGTTTTGTTTTGAATTTGAGTTTTTACAGTATGCTGGCAGATAAAATTCATATGAATATAGTACCATTACCGAAAAATTAGAGTCGAATTAATTGTCAAAACTCAGAAGTCCCTCAGTGCAAATCCTCCCATGAACATGCCCATGCCCAAGCCCACCGAAATAAAAGGATGGCTGAAAAGTAAAATATGCTTGTAAATGGGGTTGAGTTTGGGTTACAAAACCGAAGGCCCGTTAAATATGTATGCCATCCCAATTCTCCCAAGCCAATTCGTTAGGCTAAGCCCAGCAAATTGAAATATGGGTGTGTCTGCCTTTAAATGAAAAAGAACTGGTTTGGTGGATTAACCCACCTCTTTCAGCCTATTACATTAATGGTTCCAATCCACCACGTGGCTACACAAATTGGTGGGCCTCGAAGCTCTTCAGGCCCAAACCAAATATGCACTGTTAGACTCCCTATTCAGACCCTATAACAATATATATATATATATTGTGCAATCGCAATTGTGTAATAGGGATTGTGGGATGAAGGTTAAAATCTTTAATATTGATGTGTTGTTTTTTTATTTACAAGTTTTTGTTTTATTGTCGCAACTGTGAAGTAGCAAACTCTCGTACAAACCCAACACTTTTATTACTTGATAGTGACCTTTCTACAACCTAGATGTCTGGGAAGTCGCATTTGTTGAGGTAAAAGTATTAATTTAGTCCCTAAATTTTAAGATTTGTATAAAAAATATTCTTAAAATTTAAAAAGTACTAAAATAGTCCTTGAATATAATTTCTCCATACAAATTTCATTCTTTCGCCAATTAAATGCTAGCATGGACATCTTTTCCATCAAATAATTCATCTTCTTTAATTTTAATGGTTGACATTGGAAGTTCAAAA